TGATTCTGTCGAAATTTCCCTTCAGCGATGCCAAGTTGACTGTCGGTATATCGAAGTGTTGAAGTGTTTGTACAGTAGGGCTATCCGAGTACAGAACCAGAGTTCAAAACCTATCCAACTGCAGAGAGGTGTAAGACAGGGTGATGTTATATCCCCGAAACTCTTCACCGCTGCGTTGGAAGACGTTTTCAAGCTACTGGACTGGAATGGATACGGTATTAACAATAAATGGCGAGTACATCACTCACCTTCGATTTGCCGATGATATAGTCCTTATGGCAGAATCGCTGAAGGACCTCAACACTATGCTCAATGACCTCAATGGTGTCTCCCAACGGATAGGTCTTAAGATGAACATGGAAAAAACAAAGATCATGTTTAATGTCAATGTCACACCTATGCCAGTAGTTGTTGGGAGCACTATGCTCGAATTTGTTGACGAGTACGTTTACCTGGGACAAATAGTCCGACTAGGTAAGTCCAACTTCTACCGAGAGGTCAACCAACGGATTCAACTCGGCTGGGCAGCGTTCGGGAAATTACGACACATCTTCTCGTCAGGTTTACCTCAATCTCTGAAAACTAAAGTGTAAACTGCGTCTCTGATGCACAGGGTTCGTGGGAGCGCCAACAGCATTCTTAACGTAATTAGTGAGAAACCCGAGTGTGCTTTTTTGAGGCACTGGGTTCATTTCCATGTACCCATTACCTCGGACCGGCACCTCAGGTATATGAACTAATTTATTACCTAATTTTACTTACATATATTTAAGACTTTTTCTTTGTATTTTTAAAAATAATATTGTATTATATCATTATGGTAAGTTTTGTTGGTGGTTTTGTTAATATATAATTAAATCGGATATGACGTATGTGTAAGGGTGAAATAGATTTATGTTATTTTATTATTATTAAATTATTATTTTATTTTCGATATTATTATAAATACTTACGCATTTGATATAATTAATATTAGTAATGATTTATAATTTTAGTATTAGAATAAATGTTAATATATGTTATTTTACCCTATGATCCTTGTTGATTGAAATAAATTAATAAAAAAAAAATAACCAGTGCATGTTGCCAGTAATGACTTACGGATCTGAGACGTGGTCCTTCACTGCTGGCCGTATGAGGACGCTCAAGGTCGCTTAGCGAGCTATGGAGCTAAGCTCGGAGTTTCTCTGCGTGATAGACTCAGAAACGAGGATATCCGCAGTAAAACCAGAGTGACTGACATAGCCCAACGGATTATTAAGCTGAAGTGGCAATGGGCCGGTCATATAGCTCGAAGAACCGATAACCGATGGGGAAGACAGGTTCTCGAGTGGCAGCCTCGTACCGGTAGGCGTAGTGTAGGGCGACGCCCCACTAGATGGAGTGACGATCTGGTAAGACATGCAGGAAGTCGATGGATGTAGGTGGCTCAGGACCGTGCTTTGTGGCGTTACTTGGGGGAGGCCTATGTTCAGCAGTGGACTTGTGAAGGGCTGTAATGATGATGATGATGATGAATATTGGCACATACATTAAATTGAATTGACAAAATTTATATTAAAAGTTTTACATAAACCAGTCTAACTATGATATCGGGAAGCCAAACACCTCATTGACTATAATGTCAGAAATAAAAAAAAAAACAATATATAATTTAAACGCTATAAAGTCCGTAAAATTAGTTTAAATTCCATATATTATTAGTTATACGTGTTTTTATTCAACATCGAGTGATCAATTTGTCATGAAGTGGGAAGTTTTTTGGCAGACCGAATCAGATAATACCCATATTTATAAAGGAAATAATAAATTTTCAAATTTTGGGCTAAGCTTTTTGTTTCAACTCTCAACGCGAGATATATTAGCGTATATTGGTTGATTCTAAATAAACATTGAGCACATTTAAATTCCGTGTTGTTGGTTTCTGTTTTTTATCTAGCAAAAATATCCATTTAATTTATATTTGCAAATAATTTTATACGTTGATTTTAAATAAACCCCAAAAAACCTATCAAAAAGATTATTAGCTGTCTAAAAATTATTTGGAGATCAGTTTGAATGTATTTGTTTCTTTTTTGCATGCGTTTTATCGCTATGTTTTTATAGATTGTTAACAGATATTGATGATTCTTTTTTGAAGTGAAAACGTCTTTAGGGTCGTTGTGATTTGAAACTCTTTTTTTTACTTATTATAACCCAGCGGTTGACCACAATCCCACCTGGTGGTAAGTGGTGATGCAGCCTTAGATACTTAATCACACTGTCTTAACGTTACAAAAGCCTATTCACTCTTGCCTTGAAGACGCCTAGATTGTATTCGGACGGAAAAATAGACCTCGGAAAATTAGTCCACTCATTTGCTATACGCATTAAAAAAGTCGAAGCAAACTTTTTGGTTTTAATGCGTGGAATATCGACAACAAAGGGGTGAAGACTCACCGAACGTCTGGTTGTCTGATGGTGGAAAGGAAAGGGAGGAGTTAAAACGTGCAATTCCTGAAAAACGTAAAATTCAGTGCTCGGGGCTGACAAGGTTGTTTTCATCCATATTAAGTTCACCAATGAGCCTCTTGATACGTCTCTCAACCAAGTCCAACGCTGCCAGGTAGGTGGCGTTTTGCAGCACCAGCCCATATCTGACAGCAGTACTCCATACACGACCGAACTTGTGTTTTATAGAAGGTAAGAAGCTGCCTCGGCGTGGAGTTCCTTGCGGTTGCTTTGGCTCTGGACTCAATGAACTACCCTTGGATGAAGTTCAGTGAAAATTCAACGCCTAACAACTGAAGGAGGTCAGTGTATTCCAAGGATTTCGGAAAGTAGGAGTCAGGGTAAGCGGGCTCCTTTTAGCGGGGAAAAGACACACTTGTGTTTTTGAGGCGTTGAATCTCATGGGATTGACATCGCCTCATTCGGAGACTGCTTGTAGTGTAAGATTCACACGCTCAACCACGGATTCTCTTTCGGACTGGATTTGATCCCAACTGACTCGGGCACTTGATTGGTATTTCTCCACAACTGTGCTATCGTTACATACCCATAGTTACCGGGCATAAGCAGATGATTAATAAGCAGCAGGAAGATAGTTGCGAAGAGAATGGATACTCGAGGAACACTGGCATCAGTCACCATAGGATCGGATAAGCAGCCATCGACGACAACCCGGAGAGACAGTTCAGTCAGAAAGTCCCTTACCCATTCAATTAGACCAGGTGATAAACCGTACGCTGAAAACTTACCAAAACGGCTCGCTTGCCAAGCTCTGTCAAAAGTATTCAAGACGTTAAGGGAAACAGAAAGTGCTTCCCACTGTTCTCTAGTGCCCATACGTTTGTGGCATACGCTAAAAAGTCCTTAGCTGACCGAATTTGGCGAAACCCGTATTGCCGGTCACTAAATAGGTCACACTGTTCTATGTATGTCATTACGCGGGCGTTACATATATACACTCCATAATCTTGTAGAGTATGGAGGTAATTGAAATTGGCCAATATTAGGCAGGGTCCTACGGTTACCTTTTTGGGCACAACCTGCACATTGGCCAGCTTCCATGATTTGGGTACTATTCTAGTCCTGAAAAAGAGGCGGAACAAGCGAATAAGGGGATAAACTCACACAGACTCTATGAAACGAAAAAACGACACCAAATGGAAACAAACATATATATCTATAGGGTTCCGCCTGCAAGAATATGATAAAATACAGTACAGAGTGTTTTCTATTTAATATGTCATATAAGGGCAGTAAGTATTAAGGATGAAATTTATTAAATAGAAAATGTTTAAGTACTTACGATAATGCAATTGAAAACTCCGAAACTGTATAATATGTAATGTAATATATTATGTGGAGTAAGATGTAATTTTTAAATTTACTAAAAACAACATAAGAAATAGACCCTGCAATAATTATATTATTCATGATACTCTGCATTCGCCATTTTTTTGAAGTATAGTTTTTTGGATGTTTCACTTCTGCCGCGTCTGATACTGTGTTTTGGTTTTGAACACATGTTTTTTTATTAAATAGGTTATACATTTCAGGGATGGTCCCGTATTAATTTTTACATAAAATTTTTTAAGCGTGCATAAATGGGAGATGAAATTTTAAATGGAACTGGGGAAGAAATTTATTCAAATGATACTGTGATTGTGACTTTGTTTAGCCTCCTCAAAATGGTGAAAACTTTTAACAACTTTTGGAAATAATAAAAGCAACAACTAAGAAAGAATAGAATAATACATCTTAATGTCGGGCCTTTAAGTTTTCTACACAATATGTTAGAAAAATTAAACTTAACTAAGACTTAAGAATATGAAATATTTTTAAATGGTTTAATTTTGAGCAATCTTTTACTATAATGAAAACTTATTCTATTATGGTTCTAAAAATTTTCGTTGTTGCACATCGATGAAGTTTACGAAATTAATAATAATTCCCAAAAATATGTGTATTCTTCTTAAATTTTATACTTAATAGAACACAAAAGAAATATTTTCAGAAATTTTGGATGGTTTTAAGAGCTCGACTGTCCGTCGCAAAATTAAAAATGAACCGACTCAAAAGCCATCTACCCTCCAATCACGTAGCTCGCTGTAGCAAATGACTACACATGATACTCATATTGTAATAATTCTTTTAATATACTGTTTTTAGTAAAATATTAAAAGTTGTTAATGTAAATAATAGTTAGTAATCTGTCTGGAGAGCATGTCGCTTTGGCTTATGATTCCCTAATAGAACTCTTTATTTAAATATCTATTTGTCGACGCAATTAACCACACCTCATTTCACATGCAGAATGAATAATCGGAATAGAAAAGACTTGATATTTTTGTTTGTAACGCTACGTTTATAAAATAGCCCGCTTTTTAAAAGATGATTTGCATGATATTACAACTTTTTATTCTCTTTGTTTAACATACTCATGTTTACATATTTGAATTTAAGGACTTAGTATAATTTTTTTATAGTATAGGTCTAGTGTAATATATAAATCAATGGAAGGAAAGCTCGACCGCATCACAGGCTACGTTTCACAACTACATTGCACCAAATATTCGACTCTATATCATTATAATAAGAACAGGTAGAGTCAGAGGAGGTGCAAACACACTTGTGTCAAAATTCGTCCTATTGTTGATAAAAACCTTCATAGCATGCGTGTGACGACACTGAAGATCAAACGTGGATCATTTCCAGTAACGTTAATGACTGAATTATATCAACTGATCAAGATTTATGATTTTAGAATGTCCCATTGAAGTCTTTATTCATAAATTAAATGAAGGTTTTAGTCAGTCTAGATGTTTGGAGAAAATATATACTAATTTACTAATCAGTCTCAAAACTCAAAATTATGGTATCTTTATTATATCTGATGGTAAAGAAGCTACTGCAAGCCCATGAACAACTATTACTAATTGATTGTGAAAAATAATTCATATTTTTACAAAAATATTTGCAAAATGCGTAGTTGTTAAGAGCTGAGGCAGCAATTAGAAATTTAATATAAATCAATATATAACCTCCTTCAGACAGAATTTTGGTCACGATGCCCAGTTTCATTTCAACAGAGTCTAGCCATCTGCGCAGGACGGGGTTATAGTACTCAAGTGTGTGCGCAAGCACACAACATGCACTCACTGTTTCCTAACTCACATGCCAATCCGACACGACATGACAATGAGAGAGATCAGACACGATTTAGTTGACAGGAAAACTCTAACTAAAACTCGACGTGAGATAGTTCAGATTAAAATGCTTAACTTTATATTATTTTATTTTTAATGAGTTTGTAAGTAAAACTTATGGGTCATCACTTAACCAATACCAGTTTTGCCTTTTAAAAGGCCTTTCTAAGTTCGTAACACATTTGTCTTTAAGAAATTGCATAACCAAAATATAAAAGTATATTGAAATCATAAAATAAAGTTTCGTTCGTTAGTTACTACACATCTCTATAAAAAAGTCTTAACAGAATAAATTTCGGTAAAAGAGGCAGGGATAAACTGATAAACATAAAAATTGAGTGGGTTTTAAGACCAGAAACCAATAAGTTCTTATGTAGTGCACGTCTTATTCAATGTAATTTTATAGTATATAAAATGAACACATTTATTGGAGCACTGATTTTATTTATAGTTGCTGCAAAAAAGTTGATTCGAAGATCTCATTAGATATAAATGTTGGAATAAACGATAACGATGTTACAATAACCAATTCTGGTTTGGGAGTCGATGTTATTGGTCATGGTGAAATTGAATTATTTAATACTGGAAACGCTAACATAAGGAAGGCTGTAAAAAGACACTACCATTGGTCTCCCAGCAATGTTTACTTAAAAAGTCTGACACCCTGGGGAGATTTGTTCCGAAAATATAACTGGGAACAGGTATCGCGAGTTTTGACTGTCAAATCAGCAAGATTAAAGACAATAACGAAGAAACCTGTAATAGTGTTGTCTAACTACTTCGATGACGTTTCAAATAAGACGATTAAGGTAAACACAGGGATAAGTCAAACAGTGGATAATAAGATTTCGACAAGTTGGACCAAAAGCAAACAGACGACTGTTTCTCAGGAAATTGAATATGATATGAACGTGATGTTTGCGAAGATGATGGGCACGACTGGTTTCTCATATATAACTAGTTGTGGCGAAAGTGAAGAGCGATCTGAAACTATTGCGATTGGAACCACAAGTGGTGTTGAAACGGAACTGCTGCCTGGTCAGGCGGCGACCGTGGTACTGTCAGCAAATAAGGGTGCTTTAGAGGTAGAAATCGTGTACTTGGCAAAATTAAGAGGTAACGTGGCTGTGAACTTTAAAATTCCTTATAAGGGTCACCATTTCTGGGGTCCATCGATAGATAGTGTGATGAAGAGTGGTGGATTAGAAAATGAAGTGATTATAAAAGAAACTATCAAGTTAGGTTTCTACACGGATGCAGTTTTAAAGGTATATGATAAAATATCTGAACTGCCATTGTAACGGCAATGACTAAGGTGTTTGAAAATCGTTGTTATGGTTCCAACATTTGAAAGACGTTTTAATATATTATCTCCGTTAAAAAGACGTTCTGAGGTCCATGGAGTTCACTTCTACTATTTCTAAAAATATCTCTCTGCGAGTGTCTGTGCTTGTTTGCGCATAATCATTGCGCATAAAAGTTAGTGAATTCACTAATTAAGTAAGTAAATAAAAAAGTTTTCTTAATTAGAAATAGAACATTCATGGGAAGTTGATGGTGTAGCCTGACCGAATCGAACCGACGCCCATATTTATTCAAGATGTATGTATTATGCTTTTCGGTATAATTTTCTACTAGCAAGCAAGTTTTTTATAGAATAAAGGTGACAAACGGCGGCCACGAAGACTAGCCATCGTGTCACACCCACCATGCCCAAGTGTATGCGCAAGCACAGGAGCACTCTTTATTCCCTCACTCTCATAATCCGATGGGATGGTAAACTGACATGACTGGAGAGAGATCAGACGCAGGACCAACGGCTTTACGTGCTTTCCGAGGCACGGGGATGAGAAAACGCCAACTTACTAAGGCCGGGCAGATACTGAGAATTTCTTGATAGAAAAACTCAATAACTGTTTTTGCCCGACCCGGGATTCGAACCCGGGACCTCGTGATCAGCAGTCACACTACTACAACCACTAGACCAACGAGTTAGTCAGTGAAAAAAATAAGTACTAGGCTCAACTCACGCAGATGGCCTCCTGTGCCGAAATAGTCATACCATCTATGAAAGTGTATAGGGCTTATTAAGAGTTATGTCTTAATTGATGTTACGCTTTATACGTCATCAATAATTACAGCCCTTCACAAGTCCACTGCTGAACATAGCCCTCCCCCGAGGAATGACACAAAGCACGGTTCGGAGCCACCTGCATCCATTGATTTCCTGCATGTCTTACCAGGTCGTCACTCAATCTAGTGTGGGGACGTCCTACACTGCGCTTACCGGTACGAAGCTGCCACTCCCAAACATTTTTTCCACATCGGTTGTCGGTTCATAGAGCTATATGGCCGGCCCATTGCCACTTTAGCTTACTAATCCGTTGGTCTAGTTCTACTGCGGATATCCTCATTTCTTAGTTTGTCACAGCAGAGAATCCCCGAGCATAGCTCTCTCCATAGCTCGCTGAGTGAATTTAAGTGTTCTCATACGGCCAGCAGCATTGTAAGTATTACATACATAAACTTTGGAACACCCTCCCCAATGATATTAAGAATGCCACAAATAAAAAACTCTTCGAAGTTCTTCTACGACAACATTACCTGAGAGCAACTACTAATTGACATTATTTTCCCTTATTCTTTTGTTTTTCCTTTTACTTCAAATATTTATGAAATAAACTATATACTATATACATATATTTAAACATTATATTTATATTTATGTATATATATATATATATATATATATATATATATATATATATATATATATATAGCCTAAGACGCCTCCCCCACCGCTTTGTCAATTCTATAGTTAGTTATTGTGGAATCGATATTATATATATTTACAACACAAAAGCAAGTTTTTATTTTAATTGTCCGAAGAAGCCTCCCCATTGCTGGTCCAATTGAGACGGATTACATTATCATCGGCGCAAGAATCGACCCGCGGCGACATCGGCCATTTTGTGGAAGCGTCGTGCAAGTGTCGTGCCAACGTGTCTTATGACTGGGGCTAAACTTGACGGACAATTCGCTCACTACATCAACAATAGCCAGCTCATCACACACTCAAGAAGCTTTCACCCATCATCAAGCTTTCAAGAAATCCCTCGTAGGCATAAGCGGTGCGGCTCATCTACGTGGTGGAACTCATCATCCAATTTTCATCATTCAAGCTATCCTGTGTAGGCAAAAGCGGCAAGGCCCATCTACTCAGCATAAATCATCAAAATCATTGATTCATAACGCCAAAGAAGGCACCTACAAATTCACATTCTTCACCTACAGAAGCTAAAGACAGCAATCATCGCACTCATTCATAGATTTTCACATCATCCATCCAGATTTACAGAAACAAAGAAACCGTGAGGAGCAACGCGAAGTGGTATAACACCTATTTCCAATCCTACCATCCATCGATTAACTTTACTTACCTATACCAATTTACCTATTTTTATTTTTATGCACATATCTATCCAGAAAATCCATTTATTACAGTAAGGTCAGAATCTAGTACCTACCTGCCTACTTTTCTAACATAACTTCATTGCAATCATTATTAAATCACAACTTGTTCTCAAAAACAAGTAGGTGGGCATTTATCAACTTCTCATTTATTTCCATACTTAGTCAACTTTACGTTGGTACTTAATTACCTACCTTCTGTTTAAAAAACATTACAGCAGGCATTACTTAAAATTAATCTCATTCAGACATAACTACCCAATTTTCAATCATTAATAGTTACGCAAAACAGTTTTTTATTTTATTCAAATTTCTAATCATATTTCATTTGCAACAGTGCAACCAAACGTTGGACAGGGCGCATCTCCGCTCGCTCGCAGGGCTAGATTCAAGGTCAACGACGGCCGGTCGGCCGATCCACGCCGAGCTCGCTCGCTTGGCCACGTCGTAACATCGTGATAAATAAAACACGTAAACATTTTATTAAAGTTACATAAAATCAATTTTCACAACTTAAAAATTACTTAATCATATTTTGTTTTACCTCATTTAATCACTTGCAGGAAGACCAATCATGGATATTATGGTACAGTAGAGCGTCGATTATCCGAACTAATTGGGGGACCGGGGTGTTCGGAAAACCGAGTTATTCGGATAATCGAACTTTACAATTTTATGTACCAATAAAGCCTATTATATAAGTATAATACAAATTTTGTTTATTACAGTTGCAAATATGAATATAAACAAAGAATAGAGAGCATAATTAACAAAAAAAAAATTGTATAATCAATATTGAACACACAGTATGCCTATATAATTAACGTTTAAAGAAGTCCTTAATTTTGTCAGTCGAAGTGAACCTACCCTTTTACGTGAGCTAAATCACGCACTTTTTTCAGGACAGATATCTGATACTGATCGCTTTCATTTTGAGCTTCAAACATTCGAAAATCCAATCATGTAAACGCTTCAAAAACAGTAGGTATATTTTCGTCTTCATTTTCTGAACCATTAAATAATGAGGTGCAGGTACAGCAATAGGGTACGCAGATAGGATTCTGAACGTAGGCCAACACTGGGCACTGCGGGGCACTGCAGGCGTTGAGAGGGGGAGGGGTGCATCTGACCGGGGTATGGTAGCAGCCTAGCAGTTCGGTTAAGCGATCGTTCGGTTGATCGACGTTCGGATAATCGACGCTCTACTGTATTAAAGAAAAAACGTGGATGATTTAAAACTAAATTAACTCAGTTTCAAAATTATTTAAGGGTTACAGTTTAATGTCAAAAACTTAGCAGTATTCAGTTAAACGAACTTAATGCACGATTGTCTAAAATTGAGGAACTTTATACCGATTCCGATACCGTTCAGTTAGATATAGAAACTTCTTCTGAAATTTCAGAGGAAGAGAAGGGAGTTTCAAGAAAGAGAATCTTTCGAGGCGCAGTGCTTCAATGCCGTGGTTACCGCACCCGAGTTGCTGGATAGACATGGCGGTGGCAGGGCTGCCTGCGCGGACAACGGCAGCGGTGGTGGTTCTGGCGCCGGCTCTCGGATTGCATGCACCAACAAACCAGGTAGATCCAGCCTTAAGCTGCCTACGATAAATTTGCCAAACTTTTCTGGCCGCTATCAAGACTGGCTCGAATTCCACGACACATTCAACTCATTAATTCATTCAGACACATCTATTCCTAAAATTAATAAGTTTCATTACCTTCGAGCTTCACTCAAAGACAGCGCTGCTGAAGTCATTCGTTCATTAGATTTTTCATCAGACAATTACGACATCGCTTGGAAGTCACTCTGTGAACGTTATCACAATAATAAACTTTTAATTCATAACCACATTCAAGACTTATTTAATATCGAGCATATTTATAGCGAATCCTCCAAAGCGCTGCGTAAAACTATAGACACAATACACAAAAACCTAAGAGCACTAAAAGCACTCAAACTTCCTACAGAACATTGGGATGCACTTATTATCTTTTTGGTCTCAAGTAAATTGGACCCTATCTCCTTAAGAGAATGGGAATCCCGCTTATTTGACGCACTTACTTTGGAAACATTTATTTCGTTTTTAAGAAATCGAGCTGATTTCCTTGAGACCATAGAAGAAGCTCATCCTAGACGCAGACATAGCGATATCACTCACACAAAACCTAGGTCATTCATCGTCACTCCTTCTACTCGTACTTCATCCACTTACATACAACATTCATACAATCAACGTTTATACATCCAACATTCACGCAACCTCTCATGCCCGTTGTGTAAGAATAATCATACAATTTATAAGTGTTCTAAGTTCAAATCATTACCAATAGAAACACGCATACAAAGGGTGGAGCAATTAAAATTGTGCATTAATTGTTTACGCACAGGCCATGATCACACCAAATGTAAGTTAGGTTCCTGCAGGGTATGTTCAAAACAACATAACACTATGCTTCACCTGGAACCTCGAGAAGCTGTAACTTCACCGGCCTCCGGGGAGAGCAATAACTGTGTGGCGCAGGAAGGGAATACCACAAGCACACAACCACAAATCACACAAACAAATATTGCTCTTTCACCCATACATCAATGTTATGTTCTCTTATCTACAGCTGTTGTTGACATTGTTACCCCTGATGGTAAAAAACATAAAATACGTGCTTTGTTAGATAATGGAAGCACTTCGTGCTTCATAACAAAAAATCTTTGTGATAAATTAAATCTACCTATACAGTCAACATCAGTTTCTGTGGAAGGATTGAACGGTCAGTCATCACTCGTACAAAATCGATATTA